AGCAAATGTCAAAGGGTGCGCAAGCAATGGCGCACTCAATCACTCTTTTAACTAATAGGGTTCGCACACTTGAGGATGCAAATGTGGCACTTGCTAAACGCCGGAGGGCCAAAAAGTCTCGGGTACAACTTGGAGGGGCACCTAGTATAGAAGAATCTCAGGTTTTACTAGAAGAGAAACAGAAAGGGAAACGTCCAGCACCTCGAGATGACGAGGAGAGGGGTCCATCAAAGAGGGCTCAGCCGGCTCGGAGACGCTGTGGTGTGTGTGGTGAGACGGGACATAACGCGCGAACCTGTTCCAAAGATGTGGAATCATCAAATGATTCAAATGGCGAAAACGAATGGTTAATTCAATGTGTTGTAGGTGAGAAATGCTTAATATTATAGCAAGGGTGGGAAAAAGCTCGCCGCTGACTGATATTCGCCGCTGACTGGTAAACCACGTTATATATATATATATATATATATATATATATAGTAAGTAGAGGTATATATCCTCGTGAGACCTCAAGGCTTGATTATATAACATTCTTCACGGCCTCATAAACTTTGCAGGTCATTGCTCCAAAGAAATTTCTCCGCGGCATCGTAGTCATCCTGTTATAGGCAAGCATGGTCAAGCTCTCTGAAAGGACACAGACGGCCTCTGCTAATCTAGCTTGAACATGTTTGAGATGTCTTGTGCTGCACTCAAAGAGAATCTTCATCACATGCCCGTATTTTCCACCAAGTGCCTACTTCGCGACTACAGCTCTAGTCCGCGGGTATAGCAAACCATCAACTGATTCATCACATTATTCTCAATTAGAGCATAGTGCACGGCATGGAAAAGTGATTGATTTCATTCTGAATCTTCGTTATGGTACCAGCCCTCAGCTACCAACCATAATGCCACCATCGTCAACGACCACTGATGCAAAACCCTCAACCACACCCTCATACACTGAGCCAAACACCCGTCTCTCTAAGCAGTAGCCTGTACCTCACTCGCAGGCGCCACTGCCCCCCTCACCATCAACGTCTTCTCGTCCTCCCCGGCCTCGAACCTCCTCAGCATCTCGTCCGGATCGAACCTTGGCCCGCGCGGGTCCTTCGCAAACTCCGCGCTCATCATGAACGCCACCGCGTCCTCGGGCTTCTCGTACGCGTCCACCTGCGTCTCGATCTTGTTCCCGTCGGGGTCGCGGTAGTACATGCTCGTCGACATGCCGTGGTGCACGCAGTACGCCGGCTCGAAGCCCATCTCCTTGCGCGCGCGGTACGACGTCAGCAGCGCGCCGAGCGAGTCGAACGTCAGCGCGAAGTGGTCCATGCCGCAGCTGTTCTCGGGCCGCGGCGTCGCGGTCGCGTCGTGCAGGATCGCGAGGCGGTGGTGCTCGTGGTCCCACGTCAGGAAGGTGATGAGCTCCGAGCCGTGCACCACGCGCGCGTTGAGGAAATTCGTGTAGAAGTCGACGAGCCGCTTGGCGTTGTTAGTGCGGAGGACGAGGTGGGCGAGTTCGGAGGGCCGGCTGACCCCTGACGGTGCGATGGCCATGGTTGCTGATATGGGATGAGAGATGTAATATGTGATCTCTAATAAGAATGACAGTTGGGTTGACGTCGTATGAGAGATGGAAACCACATGTAAGTCTGCTTCAGCTAGCAGAATAAAGTTGCGGGGGAGGTTCGCAGCTTATAAACCCGCCATCTCACGCGTGTCGTTCTACAAACGGGACGAATCACGCCCCGGGACAGATTACGTTTCACGACATTGTTGTCTCACGCTGCACGAATTCATTCGTCCAATGTCTTCCTGTAGGAGTTCTCTTACGTCCCGATGCCGTTCTTTTCGGCCTCCGAGCCACGTAGATCTGTTCCTCCTGCGCTGTGCTGTCGGCTGCATGATCAGCCGCGTCGGACGTCCGCCCAGTGCACGACCCTAAAAGTTGGGGGCTGACTTGGAGTATTAATTAATCTGGGAAGGACGCACTGTTCAAAGCGGGCGTGGCTGGCCCAATCACTCCAGGTTCAGCGCGATGGATTGGTGCTGTTGCGACTCGAGCGCGTTTCTCTATCCCAGATTATGGGATGTTTCCTGAGGGTTCAGAGATGGGATGACGGGACCGAGCTCTCTGCGCGGCCTTCGGGGATACACGTGCTCGCGAGCCCCGAGTTTCCGTTCGCCACGGCGGTTACTTACTCATTTACGACGTATTTCAGGATCTCGACGGGCGGTTGTTGGATTGAAGTTTCATGGGTCCCCATCTGGCTTCCAAGTCCCGAGTATTCACTCGTTGGGATGGATTCGACGACCTTGAGTGGACATTCCACATCCAACATTCGGTGCCGAGGAGTTAGGGGTGGTTCAGCCCAAGGCAATGTGCTGCTAAGATTACCTTTGTCGCCGCATTGCTAGCGGGAAGTATAACGATTATATGAACCTCTTCACTCCAACAGCGCTCGTCTCATAGGTTGACTATTTTGACACCAACCTTGGCTAACGTGAGAGAGTTGACTTACGAGAACGACCGCAGTGGTAAACTAACCAAGCGATCATGCTTTAGCCTTTTTGTTATGTCCCGCTCACATGGTTGCCTCAAGTTCCAAAGCGCCGTTGGCGATTGACATATTCTCCGATGGCCGTACATGCGCTCATCTTTCTTTGGCTTAAACTTGAAGTTGGATGAAGGCGACAAATATGGTTTTAGGCATCTTCTTTCCCCCTGCATTCGAAGATCTTAGCATAAGTTTGGAATGTAGCTGGAATAGTATTGAGAATTGAGTGTCGTGATACTTGACTGTCTAACTGCTTCCCCAGCCAACAGCCAACGAGGGAAGAACGCGTAAAAAGACCAAAACGACCAAGACATGAGTTGACTACGTGACTTGCGATCGGAACTCATTCGCTGCTTTACCGCCTGAGATGCTTGGTATTAAATGCAAACCAATGATCGGCGATTGTTGGGTTGAAGTTTCCTCGAGAAGAATTATCCAAAAGGAAATCGACCAAGGCATGAGTTGAACACGCGACCGGCATCTTGAACAGGGATGCTGCTCTACCACCTGAGCTACTTGGTCTTGCACCCTACCTAGATGAAAGACAACGACTGTTAGCCTGTTTATATGACTAAAAGTGAGTGGTTCTGTCGCTGCCTGATTGACTTGGCTCCTGAAATTTCTGGACACCACCTCATTTGTGTAGTGGATGCTGTTCGCCGAGAAGTTCTCTCAAAAGGCGTACCCCAAAAATGAACGCGGCCAGGGCATGAGTTGAACACGCGACCTGTGAATCTAAGGGTACACTGCTCTACCACCTGAGCTACCTGGCCTCGTATCAGAGAAATGACATGGCATTTGAATTGACTGAAGTTGGCCCGAAGTCGTCTCAAATAACTAAACCAAAGGAACACGACCAGGGCATGAGTTGAACACGCGACCTTTCATCTACTGTGTGAATACTCTACCACCTGAGCTACCTGGTCTTGTAAGTAATAGAATACATGACGCTGACGTTGAATTTAGAATTCAGTAACAAGAGTGGTCTTGCTGATGTCCGATCTGCTTGGCGATGTTGTTTGTCGGTGGCTATGCTGCATGTTGTTGGCGACTGCGCCGTGTCCGTGCAAGTACTTCTGGCCCAACTTCAGCGCTGCTACACCCGACAAATAAACGATAGTTGCTACAGGGTAAATCGTCATCAGAGCCTTGCGAATACTTCACAAAGCGGCTCTGGGGGCCTGCAAGCTATGCTTGTACGGTTACCGTACCCTGAGTGACTTCGCGAAAGGAAGTTGATCACCTCGTAGGAATTCTGCCCTGCAGTGACCAACATAAAGAAATGAGATTACAAGCCTCTCACCTTCCAACACCACGTTGTGACTTATCGAGCCATCCAAAGCCAAAGTCCCTCCCGCGTGGGCACGGGGATGGCATGGGCCACCGTAAGCTGCATGAGATGGTGGTGTGGTCAGCGTTCAAAGTTAACCGAACTTGCAGCTATGAAGGAGTGCTTGGCCTTTCTGGGATAGACAAAATCGATCCAAGCACTAATTACTTACAAGAAACAGAAAATCCTCATCAGTGCAGAGGCATAGCAAGCCCTCACGCATGAGAGAATACTCAGTTACAGGGAAAATGTGTTTCGGACATGGACTCCGAAGACGAACCACTAAGCACACATCGAGTCATGCACTATTCTTCCCCAGCATCTCGCCTGACCGGCACTCCAACCCCCCAACCATGCTTTTAAGAATTACCTTTTAGAGTTAAGCTGACAACGTCCCACCTGCTGAATAATTCGGAAGAAAGCTCTTAAGTTCGCCGCGGCAGAAGAAAAGGGACTTTGGTGAAAGCCAAAAGACCGTGCAGGAAACCGGCAAGCAAGCGTCTCATCTAGCGAGATTCTCACAATTTGTTGCCGACAAGGGTCCAAATCCTTCTGCCTAGAGCAGTTTTAGCGGTCTCCAGTTGCGTCGCGACCCCATCAACTCCGCAAATTCCGCAAAAGAGACTGAACATCTCTGTTGCCTTGGGCCCACGGTTTTGGGGCTGTCGGTGGAGCGGTCGCTGAATGTCATCATCTACGCCTTTCAGCGGGAATAAACGATGAAAATTGGGACGGCCCTCGTCCATTATCAGGCTCCCACGTTTTACGTTGAAGACGTTGTTGTGTGCATCAATAATCTCTCTTTCATGATCGCAGACAAGCTGCTTGACAGCAAGAGCTCGTTCAGCACTCATTCAGCCCTAACCAAGGCCGTACACCCATCCCGGCTTATCGGGACAGTAGTGTTGTGCTGCATCTCAGCCCCGGGTCTCCGTGGAGGCTTCGTCGGCTTCGTGTGACGCCGTGATTGCTCAGCTTGCCGCGCAGATTTTCGTTTTCGTACACCAAAAACGGGAACCAAGGAACCGGCCGCAGAGCAGTGGCTTAGCCTTTCAGCCAAGTCCGTCTGTGAGACGAGCTTGTTATCGACGGCGGCTATGGTAGCATCGCCAATAGCACCCTAACGGGCAAAGGCAGTTTGAAGCTCATTGCCAAATCGAACCCAGTTTCATCACACCAGCGACCCTGTCATCTCAACTTGCAGGCAGCAAAAGCAGAGAACGCACGGCCCGTAACCCGGAATCGGTCAGTGTTCTGTCGACCGTTGACCGTGGACCGGGTCCCCAATTGCACTTTAGTATCGTGCTTATTATTTACCCCTGGCTAGCGGGCGCCCGCTTGCGCCAAGGATGGTGGACTGGCAAGAAAGGTTTGGCGTATAAACCCTCACGCTATTGGTCGCCATTCCGGGTGCCTGAGAACCGATGGAGAGGAGAGAAAATCGTACTCTGCAAGGCTGGCGGCTCTAGTCCGTTTGAGGCCATGTCTTTCGACATTTGTGCATGGATTCTAATTCGCCTGGGTGCAACACAGCATCATGAACCCCCCAGTCGAGCCCCCAATTAGCTCAAAGATGGTCGTGCTTTTGGTGGGACAGGGCAGACTTTTGGCTCTTACACCACCGGCCGATCGCGAGAAGGGCGGCCGACGGATCGCAGCCTGCGTCTTTCGAGACTGAGAGCCTGGCCGGGGGGCCCTGGGGTGCCATTGCATGTTATATGAGACCTTGTACCCCCCCAAAACCAATACCGTGGCGTCGTGAAATCCTACGCCAAGGTTGTGCTTCCTTCTCGTGTTGCTCATCGTCGGCTTTAAACCACGTTATTCTCTGATCCGTCCGACTGTTCCTGAAATCCGAACCCTTTCCCTTTTCTTCGAGGTGTGTGGTCTTACCCAGGCGATAAAAGAAAGAAAGAAGAAGCGACGAGGTCGTCGATCAAAAAGAATACTCCGCCAACAATGGCCACATCAGGACCGACGAGCTCTCCGGAGGGCCACCCAGCCTCGCTGGCGCCCAACAACATTACCTCGGCACGAACATCATCCGACGACTCTCGCGACCCGAAGTACCAAGCAGGACTGATGCCGGCCGAGTACGCCGGCCTGGAGGTGGCCAACAACGGCGACGGGCATTACCAGACTGCGGCGCCCGGCGGACCAGGATACTACGTGCCGTACCAAGACAACGTGAAGCCCCCATCGGGATACGACCAACAACCGTACCAACAACAGCAGCCATACCCACAATCGGCACCGACACCATCGGCATACGGCGGAGACTATGCGGCGGCTCCGCCTCCGGGGAAGGGAGAGAAGAGGGTATGCGGCATCCGGGCGGCGACGTTTTGGATGGGATTGTTGGCGTTGATATTCCTTCTCGGCACGATTGGCGCGTCGGCGGCTGCTGGTACGATTGCTCAACAGTACGCGGGATACATCCAAACATGCGATACGTAAGTTCACACCCACTGTTGTCATCTTGGCAAACATCGTCACTAACCCATGCCGCAGTAAGCTGGAACAATCAGCAACACAAGCATCAGCCTCAGCAGCAGCGTCAAACTCCGCGGCAACAGCCTCGGCATCTGCATCAAACACTGCCTCTGGAACCGCCTCAGCAACAGCAGCAGCAGCATCCGCTACATCAACCGGCTTCACGTCGATTCCCCTTCCCCAGCAAGCCTCCTCGATCTTCGGTGAGGCTACTTCAAACTGCCCGAACCTGTCTGCCGAGAACAAGACGTACTCTGTCCCCGGGAGCAACCTAAAGTTCGTCCGCGAATGCGGCAAGAACTATCCCTTCAACGACCTGGGATACATCCCATTGACCAGGATGGAGGACTGCATGAACCTGTGCGCTGCGTTGAGCGTCACGACGCAGAGTGCCGACGGGCCGTGCATCGGCGTCGCCTGGGTCACTGCCGGCAAGCAGGGTACGGACCAGAACTACTGCTGGCTGAAGGGTGCGAAGGGGTCCCCGGACCCCAAGGCCAATGTTGAGGCTGCGTGGTTGTCTTTGTCATGATGTGTTGATAAGAGATGAGCTAATAAGAGACGAGGGGGTTGGTGTACCTGCGATGAGGAAGACGAGACGAAATGAGATCGGGCTGAGGATAAAAGGCTCTGGACGACGTTAATTGTTTATTATACCATTGAAGCATGTTTCATAGCCAGGCATCTATGTTTTATGTCACATTCATCTTAATGCCAACCACATCATTCCCACACTTCGTCTTCAGTCCCAGTGATCCATCAATCACAATAGCACGCCCTCAAACTGAACTGCAACAGAATGTATTATTGTCTCTCCGGACGGTGTAACAAGTCCTCAAACAGTGGAGGTGTAGATGAATCTGCTACTAGCTTCCGTCACTTACTTGCGATACCACATCCTTGTCACTTTTGTTTTCTGGATCTTCCTCTGCAGTCGAAAGATACCGTACAGCAATGCCTCCGCCGTGGGCGGGCACCCAGGGACGTATATATCAACGGGCAAAATCCTGTCCACGCCCCTCACTACGCTGTAGCTGTAATAATAGTATCCGCCGCCATTCGCACAGCTACCCATACTAATCACCCACTTTGGATCCGGCATCTGATCGTAGCACTGACGTACAGCCGAAGCCATCTTGTTCGTAACGGTGCCGGCGACGATCATGACGTCCGACTGGCGCGGTGAGGCGCGGAAGATGATACCTAGGCGGTCCATGTCGTAGCGAGGCATGGAGGAGTGCATCATCTCGATGCCGCAGCAGGCGAGGGCGAATGTGAGCGGCCACATAGAACCATTGCGTGCCCAAGCGACTAGCTGATCGAAAGTGGTACTGTGTCACCACTACGTCAGCAACATGTGTGGGCAAGTGACTTGAACGGAGTCATACAGGACGTGTTCAACCACGCTTGTTGGTCGCGGTTCGGAGGAAAGTCCGAGAGGAGAAGACCATGGAATGCGGGCAGTAGCATTCTTCGATTGGAAGCGAAGGCCTCCATGCTTCTGATTGTGGCTTGGATGGTAAATGACAGGTAGATGTCGTGCGAAGGTATTGAGGCAGTTGCGTACGCCTGTGAGACGGACTATTGGATTTAGTATTTGTAAGTGGGCTCTGATGTCTGGACACCTTATGCTTACCTTTTGACGGTAACATTGAAGCCATCTCTGTGAATTAAATGAGTGAGCGAGGAGATTTTCTGACGAGAATCAAAACTATGAAGAGAAAAGAAAAAGAAGAAGAGGTTTTGAGCAATGTTGCCCGAGAACGCTCACTTCTGACGTCGTGCCGGGAAATTCACACATTGAGGGACGCAGACGAGGAGGACGCCGGAGTCCACCTAAGTGGCGCATATCCTAGGGTCCATCATCTGGCCTTTCAACATCACTGCCAATTCCGCATCAAATATTTCTCTCGAAATTTTCTTAAGTATTAGACATTCCTTCAAATTAGTTTCTATTGTCTTTTTGGTATGTTCTGAACTCAGAGCAGGGCATATCATTCAACGGCTTGGATTGGGACTTTACCGGAAAAGGAAGTGGGGTCAGTGGCTGCAGCCACGGGAAAAACACTGGGCTCAATGTCTTTCGTCCTCCAACGTTCCCTCGTCACATCTGTCATCACACCACTCCTAGCAGAACAGCAGCCCGGCACTCTTTGAAATCCACGGTCAAGGCTAATTTTTTACTTGATCCCTGAAGAGTTATAGAGTCATGACGAACATTGGTCCAATCACCGAGACCGCTGGGTTCATGTCTCCAAGCCCCGCAGACTGTCCGGTCTGCCACCTCCCCATCGGAACACTAGCAAAGCTCTCCGGGCTACACGCCTGTCCTTTCTGCAGGAAAACCTTCAGACGAGTGGATGGTGCTCGAAGACACGCCAAGTCTTGTCATAAGCGAGGAAATCAGCCATTACCCGTGGAAGCCAAGCGAGGCCGGAAGCTTCGGGCTTGCGATCGGTGCTCGCGCATCAAATCTCAATGTGATGGGAAACTCCCTTGCGGTCATTGCAACGCGAGGAACCTTGATTGCACTTTTCAACGCTTCTGTAGCGATGAATCCCACAGAAAAAAGGTTTCCGGTGCAGAAGGTGCTAGGACGCAACATTGCCAGCTGACGTTCTTCCTCAACTTCACGGGTCCACGAGGGGGCCAAGCAATTGAGCAGGAGATGGCCGCCGTGCCAGAAGTCGACATCCAAGGTCCTTTCACGAACAAAGCTCCTGACCCAAACGTTATACCCGACTTTGGCGACTGCATCGATCCGTCGCTCCTTTTCACCACCCTTTTGGACTCGTCTTTCGACATGGACCCGACGGAGGCGGGACCTGCGGACGTGTTTGGGTACTCCGAGTACAACGCCTCTGGCGGCCTAACCATGACATCGCCTACCGACGCACTCGCTGTACGGATCGGTCAACTTTCTGAAGACCTGTCGCAAGTTGCTTTATTGAATTCGGAGCTTAATTGCTTTGACCCTATATCGTTCAACGAGGTCTTCTCCAGTGATCAGGTTCATGCGTTCTGCGAGGCGTTCTCTCGGAAGCGGCACTATCAATACCCAGTCGTACATTGGCCAACTTTCAACCTCGAAACAACTTGTTTGCCTTTACTGTTGGCGATATCTCTCAACGGTGCGGCCTACTCCAAATCTTCTTCTGATGCCGCAGGGAGCAGGGCGAGGGCACGAGGCTTCTACCTTATCGCAGACGCATACATCTTCCAACAATTGGAACGCTCCATCAACAGCAATCACAAAGAACCTGAATCTGAGACAACTGTCGAGATACTCCAAGCTGCGTTGCTGATCGTAGTCTTGCAGATATGTTTTGATGACAGCCGAAAAGGGGTCATAATCTTCAAGCGTCTCCCACTACTGGTATTTTCTCTCCGGCACTTTGGTTTCACTAGGATAAAACATGATGAGGCGGAAGAGTGGCGAACTTTCACAAAACAAGAGACACGAATCCGTCTTTCGACATGGACGTTCTTCATGGACAGTCTCTTGACATTATTCTGCAACAACCCACCGTCGATGTCCCATGCTGAGACTCTCGGGCACCTTCCATGTAGTCAGGCTTTATGGGACGTGGGGTCCGAAGAAGCCTTTAACCAGCTTAGGCTTAAGGCTGGACGCGAATTCGTCTGCTTAGGAGATTTGACAGTTGGGCTGATGCAAAATGAGTGGCCGATTCAGCCAGTACCCCCGTTTGATCGGCTCACCCTTCATCACCTGAATGCGGTCATTGTTGGTGAGTTTGCAGAAGCTTCTGGTGTATGTTTAGGCTGACCTGATGTACTTCTAGCCTTACAACCGATTATCTTCAATTTGCATACATTTTCGCGGCATGACACAGGACGCATTAATTTGCTTCGGGCCCTCGATCGGTGGACGACACTCTGGAACGCTGCAACCCATCCTAAACAGCCTGGATCTCTAGGCGTCGAGCGGAACAGCCCCGGTCTAGCACTGTTATCAAGAAAAATCATTGAAGCCACGGGCACCGATACGGCAGGGCAATGCGAATATCTGCAACGCGTCCCGAAGCACGACTTCTCAGATCTTCACCGCTTTATCAGAGAATGTTGGCAGTCTGGTCAACCCGTATAAGTAGGTATCGCAGTTCACTCTATACTTTTTTTCACAGTACTGAAACCCAATAGCAGCACTTTGACCTGTGCCCGATCTCGATAAAGCAAACAAACAAATCTCGGTATAACTGGTCGTTGACGCTCGGCTTAACTTATCCCCGGCAGAAGAGGGCAGGCGGGCAGGCGGCGGAGCGGCAAAACGTACTGGCGAGAGAATACTGCTAGTGAATGGCTCTACTGTATGTATGGCTTCCTGGATCGCCCCAGGAGCTTCCATAACCGTCACTTATCCTTGAAATTCATATGATACTCACTTTGATGCCAATCAGATAATTCCCTTCACTCGTATTCGGTTCCGGACTGATGGTGGCGGACCTTCGCGGCCCCCGTTGTAGATTCGACCGATTTTCGGCCGAAGTTAACAACTTCGAGACTTGAGACGATCCACGCCGCTAAGCTTCGGCCAAAATACCGTGATGTACTGATTTCATCAAGTGCCCAAAAAAGTCTCGATGAAACTTGTGGGCATCTATTTAACCGTTCTCGCCGGCTGGACATTGTATCCGCAGAAGTCATCACGCATCCACAGAGAACAAAACGAAGCCATGGCCAACAAAATCAGGGTCGCCATTGCCGGCGCAACTGGAAACACGGGTTCCTCAATTGTGAATGCGCTGTTGAATTCACCCGATCGATTCGTGAGTTATCTCCCCTGGAAATTCCCAACTACGCCTTGCGGAAGTTTGACTTATTCTCTGGCAGGAGATCACTGCTCTAGCGAGATCCACCTCAGTTGGGAAACCGGATATTGTTGAATTCGCAAAGCAAGGCGTCGCTGTGAAGTCGGTTGAGTTAGATGGGTCAATTGACATGATCTCTGGCACTCTTGCCAATATGGACGTCGTCATCTCATGCTTGACCTTGCTCCAGTTCACCGAGGAGATAAATCTCATTGAGGCGTCGAGCAAGGCCAACGTTGGTCGGTACATACCGAGCTTCTGGGGTCCAGCCTGCGCACCCCGAGGCATCATGATGATCAGGGAGATGGTGAGCTGCAATTCTACCTCGGGCCCTCTAATTCATGGATTGAATTAATAATCTGGATACCTTTGCTGACCCAAACATCACAGAAAGAGGATTTGTTAGACCGCATCAAAGCCCTATACCTCCCTTACACGATCGTCGATGTTGGTTGGTGGTATCAGCTGTCCTTGCCTGCTCTACCTTCGGGAAGGTTTCGCCCGGCCGCAGAAGAGTATTCCACAACGCGCATCATCGGAGACGGGAACTTTCCCTGGGCCCTCACCGATAACCGCGACATTGGAAAATTCGTTTCCCGAATCATCTCTGACCCGAAAACCTTGAACAAGATGGTCTTTGCCTACGGGGAGGTCGTCACGCAGAACGGTGCTTTTGAGCTTCTCGAGAAAGTATCCAGAGAGGCTGTTCCTCGAGAATACGTGGGTTTCCCGAATCCCCATGAAACTTGGTGTTCTAATAACGAATTTAGGTGACCAAAGAGGAACTGCACAGCATTATCTCCCAAGGCCGGGCAACGGCAGCAAAGCAGGACATCAAAGACGTCACGGTTCTGCCCAGCATTGGCATGGCAGAGTACCGAAACCTTCTCGGTATCCGAGGTGACAACACCCCTGAGTATGCCCGTTATCTTGGATATCTCGATGCGAGAGATTTGTATCCTGATGTGGAGGTCACTACCCTTGAGAACTACATCAGACGTCTCGTACGCTGAGGGGCATGGTAGCGTAGAGTAAAAAGAAGGTCACTGGCGACCCAACACTTTTGGGATTTACTGGCTCAAATTGCCACGAAAGTCGGCCGGGGCCGGGTATCCGGGCCTCCGGCCCGAACCCCGTCTTTACGTAGGAGGCATCGGCCACACCACTTTGCAGCCAGCTGCGCCCGGCGCTTGTAGCCTAGATTAATCCAAGCCACTTCACGCAAAACTCACTTCAAGCTGCCATGGCCACGTGACGCCACACGTCACTACATGTACTTCTCCAGGCAGCAGCCAGTTACCAATCCAAGCATTGGATCCTACATCTTTCTCTTGTTGCACAATCCCCCACCTGCTCTCCTCGAAGACATCTCTCCATTTGCATTGAACAGAACTATATTCGTGTACAGTTCTCTTATTTTAATTCCCACCTAGCTTTACGTTTCCCCTCAATCGATAATACAACCATCTTCGGCCAATATTGCTTTGAAACTAACCACACCTACGCTTTCCTTTTCCGCCATGGACACATGCTCGGCAACTAAGTCTTCCGCTTTGGAGCGTTCAGACGATCATAAGCGGAGGAGGCCCTCAGAGTCGGACGTCGGTTTCGCTAAAGTGTCCAGTCTGCGTTTAATGTGGGCATTGTCTATAGTATCTTAACAACTCACACCCCAACAATACTGACAACACGCCTAGAGAACCAGGCTGGAGGAATGTGTTCCGCAACTCTCATTCCTGTAAGTTAGCCAAGACATCTCCATACCACACAATCCTGACCTTCTGTAGGTCACTATCGCCCGAGATCAGAAATATGATTTATCGTCATCTCGGGCTTTTCAAAACTCACAATATCAGAATCGTGGGGAGAGGTATCAACGTCCATTATGAGCCCACTTTCAACTTCCAACTGCAGAGACATAGGTTTCGGGGGGCTCTACATCCACGGTGTACCACCAAGTTCGATACGGCAATCGCAGCAACGTGTAGACTGATACATCAAGAAACCAGAGCTGTATTATATGGGAGATTATTCTTCCTCCCCAGAATGGAAGATGCCGCTTCGTGGCTGTTGAATATTGGCCCACAAAACAGAGCCTTGTTACGAGGCATACGGCTGACGACCCGCGTCAAAGACACCCACCCAGCGTGCTCCTACGACTACGTCGCTACTGATTGTGATCAATACAGACAGGTATCAAAGCTCGTATCCGGTCTACTTGCCAATTCATCAGGGCTCGAATGCCTGGGCTTTCAATATCTATTCAATCCTAGCAACCCACCCATTCTTTCCCATGCGCGCGAGGAGTGGATCAATAAGGCGTACAAAATAGCTGAAGAGCTTTACGTGGATTTCCAGTCCTTCTTTGCGGAAGGCCTTGCCCGCGGGAGAAGACCCTCACAAATGTGCGACATTATCCACATCAACTGGGAGATCTTCCAGGACAGAGAGTGGATGTCGTTGGAAACTGAGGACAACCGTTTGGAGGATAGCCAGACCGTTGATGCGATGAATGCGTTCGGAGATCACTTGAATTGGCTGCTTGAATTGCACTCCAAAGGTCTAGGTCATCCTTCTCCGAGCTCTTCTTCGCTTTCCAGCATCAAAGTTGGTATGAACATTTGCAGGTATGTTGCATTATGACTTCACCTAAGCATACGGCTAACGAAGCCTGTACAACAACAGGTATTTGGAACAGAGTACCGCCATTTCCTGCGAAGCTGGTCAGAGATCAGTCCCAAATCGCAATCCCACCAGAAATCTCAGACGAAGGGGTTCGAGAAGAACTACATCAAACACACAAAGCTTGAAGGAGGGATGAGAGGCTTGAACTTCCCAGATGAGTCACGTCACATGAACAGTGTACATGGATGTCGCAAGTTTATCCAGAGAAGGCTTAAGACTATAACGACGCGCGAAAGCATAAACTCGAACTACTGGTCAGAGCTTCGAAACCAGAAGATTTGGCGACGCGATCACTTTCCCAAGGCACAGAAGACGATTCACAATGGCAGACGGTTGATCAATTGAGGCGTAAATGATTTAATATGTTTGACAGTTGTCCGAAATGGGGCGCGAGTAGAATAAATACAAGAGAAAACGATTCGTATCTTGAGAATGGGTACTCCGCTGCCCGATGTTGAATGAAACGCACGGAAGTCCAGCCCCCAAACACATGAGCAATATGAAAACCAACCTAGTTGGTGACGGTTTGCTTGGCCGAACCAGCACCGTTCCAAGTCTCAACGGCGATGACCTGGAAATTCAGCGTGCCAAGGTTCATGCCGTGGCTCTTCCAGGCATTGAAGTGGTTGGCAATAGAGACGGTGCCGCTGGAGAGGCCGCCGTTGCGGACCGAGATGTACTGATTGAAGGTCTGGGTGCCTTGAATAGAAGGGGCGTTGGTGCGGACGTTCTCCCAAATGGTGTATGAGCCACCGTCGCTGCTCACGGTGCCCTTCTGCGTTCCGGTCTGCGAGAAGCCGGCAGAGTCCTCAATGACGTAGTATTCGACAAGGGGGTTGGTAGTCCAGCCGTAGACGGAAAGGGTGGCAAGTCCCTTGGTGACGGCGAATGAGCCCGAGTGGGTGATAGGGGCAGTGGAACCGGGATTCCAGCCAACGCCAACAACGAAGTCGTCGGTGGTGTCAAAGTTGAGGGTGAAGCTATTGCCCGAGGGAGTAAAGTTGACGGTGCCGCCGGTCTGGTAGTTCTGAACGTAGTTGGTGCGCTCCTCCAGGGTCATGCCACGTCTCTCAAGGGATTCATTGCGGCGTGCGAGCATGAGAGGGTGGTCAGGTCCTAAGAAGAAGTCGGATGGGCCGCGGCGCTCCACATGAGGAGGCAACAGCTCAACCGGCCCGATGGCAGGGGCAGCAAGGCACGGGGCGATAGCTGAGAAGGCCAAGACGAAAGAACGAACGGAAACCATTTTGAGAATGAAGGACAGGATCAGGACTTGAATGTTGGCTGTTTTCGGACTGCCAAGAGTTCGGCATTAGACATAGGCAAACGCCGGCTCTTTATACAATTTTCTTGGCATCTGGAGATCTCATCATCTCAATCTGCGGGTCAGAGCGATCCCGCTTCGGCAGGGGCAAACACCTCCAACGTTCGTCTTCAATCTCGACGAAACATTCTCTCTTCCGTGCTGAATAGATTTAGGCAAAACCGGAAGAGGGCACCCCTTGCACGGATGAGGAGACGCGGATAAAAACAACGATGGTGGGATTTGAGTAGCCAACTCACATCGATGAAGCAAGACCTAGACTCACGCTTTTGGAAGGCCATGCCTCTTTGAGCAGTTGGCGCTCCAGGGGTTCCCCTGTGAACAGTGAAGCCGCATTGCCCTATGGCACATTAAGGCTGCTGCACTCTGATGGGCTGTCTGAATAACGTGGAGAAATCACTCAAACGCATACCAACGGAGGCAGTTAAGTTGGGAAGGGCAGCTCGGCAGTCGATTAATTTAAGCATATGCAGGTCCGGATCGCCTGGTCCGCGGCGTCATGAGTGCGGGAGAGCTATATAATCGGCACATCAGCCGCTCAGAGTCGTATTAACGGCTGCGTCGGCATTTCTCTATCTTTCTCATGGATAGATCAGCAGAGCGAACAACATATTGGATCAACCAATGAAAATTAGAAGATGCTTGTTGAAAGGCATCAGCAGTGAAACTCAGCAGGACAAGTCCACAAACACAGGTTAGGCAATCCTCAATCAAAAGGCTACACAGGCTTCACTTACAATGATCGGATGGCTAAAGGATGTCAACATAGCCCACTAAGGGGACTCAGGAAAGCGCGGCTAGGAGGCATGGTTCTAGCGTCGATCCGGGAAAGACGGCAGGGGCTCGGGTGTTTTACGAGTCCTTCGGGGAACGATTGGACAGGGCTTCTAGATAGCTCAGCAATCAAATAGAAACTGATCAGCCACAGCCCGTACTCGCTTCGTATTCGTCTAGGTATTCCCGTTGTCTCGGGTACAGTAAAATGTTGATTGATGTCTCTGGCTATTAAGAACGAAAGAAGCGCCAGTCAATATTTAAGACGTCTGAATCGCAGCGAAGAACATGTCACATCCTGTTCTACCCGGCTAACCCAAACGCTGGACTTACTGTGCTATCTACTGTGACATCTAAGAAACCCCCAGAGACAAATATCTCAGAATATTAGAGACTTTCCAAGACTTTAGAGTCAATTACCAACCCATCTAGTTTCCCATCTTCCATCCACCCCTCGACAACCTTCTGGAAACTGAGAATACCTTCTCCCCAAGACGACTGCTTAGCAATCTGCTCTTTGATCTCTTCCGTAAGACTTTCCTGGTCCTGGATGAGGCCCTCCCCTGTCAGGTAACCCGGTGTGCAACTGGGAAATGCTGCAAACCAACGAGCCCGTTTCGCAACTTCTGCTGACCAGTGATCCTCGGCGGCCTTCTTGACCTCGACGGTGGCCTTCTTTGCATCTTCAGCACCTTGGAAAGTCGCTTTCAATACGTGCGCAATTAAACGAGTAAGAAGGCTGTAGAAGCTGTGCGCATTCTGTGACACCGAGCCGCCACTCCCAGAGGCGAAGAAGAGGTTGGGAAACCCATTTGACATGGCACCGTAAAGGTTGCCGTAGTCTGGGCCATCCCACTTTTCCTTGAAAGGTCGGCCGCCTCGTCCCTCCAGCGGAGCATTCAAAGCCGACGAAGGGCAGGAGTCGACAAGCCCGACAGAGTATCCTGTGGCGAGAATGAGAACGTCAATCTCATGCTCTTGGCCGTTTGCCATCACACCGTTTGGGGTATACGCTTCAACTCCACGGCCATTGGTGTCAACAAGCGACACTTCTGGTCTGTTGAAGAGAGACAGATATGTGCCATGGAAGGTAGGTCGCTTGCAGAAACCGGGGTACCACGCTTTCAACCTCTCGGCGACTGACGGGTCCTTCACCTCGGCGTCAACTCGGGCTCGCATCTGTTCCGTCCACGGATAGTCGAGGTTCAACATGTTCTTGACATGCTCTTCGTCTTCATCCGCAGCGATGACCTCACCTTCATGGCCCAATGCGGCTCTCATCCCAGTCACTTGGGTCCAGCCATCCTGTATCATATCCGCGTTAACTGGCTGACCTGTAAATGTCGCATCCAGGTTCGCCACACGCTCGTGTTGCCATCCAGGCTTGTACGCTACCCGGGCCCAGTCCGTAGGGGTTGTCTCTTTCTGATTTTGAGGACCAACGTAAGACGGAGTACGTTGGAAGACGTAGGTATGGTCCGCCCACTTGGCCACATGAGGTATAACTTGAACTGCAGTGGCTCCGGTGCCAATGATCCCAACCCTCTTCCCTTGAAGTTTTGTCATGTTTGGCACTTCCTGGGAGCCGCCAGTTTTGGACCAATCCCAGCGTCCTGTGTGCATGACAACCTTACCGGGCGCTGAACTGAACGTATCGATGCCATTCAATTTTGGGGCATGAGGAGAGGTTTGTATTCCACCACCAAGAACCAGGAATTGAGCACGAACAGTCAGTTGTTGTCGCCCATGGTTAGGTCCCAGATACTGATCTAGAGTCACAACCCAACGCTTTGCCTCGTCGTCCCACTTTTGGTGCTTGATAGTGGTGCAGAACTGGCCTTGGATGTTCGACAGGTTGGCTATCCGTTCCAGATGCTCCCGAATCTCATGACCGTATGAACTAAGGCATTGTGTGTTAATAGCGTATGATATCACAAACATGCTGGCTTACTTACTACCTGTGCCTTGGCACGTACCCAGTTTCCTCCAGCAATGGCACGTAACAATACCCTTCGATATCGCACGCTACGCCTGGGTACCTATTCCAGTACCAGGTACCGCCAAAGCCACCAGCCCTATCGACGATGACGATGTCGCTGCTGGCAATGCCAGCTTTATTCACCAGCTGGTGAGCTGTCATCACCCCAAACATTCCTCCACCAGCAATCAGGACCTTGACCTCGGACCCATCCTTGAGCGGGACGCCTCTGGAAGCTAGAGCGTCATAGTCGACGTAGGGGTCTTTATCCATGCTGGCGAGTGCTGGGTCCCGAAAATCGATGAACTGCGCAAGTTGGTCGGAGCGAAGTCGCTTTGTCCGCTCCGCGGCGTACTTCTCAATCAAGTGGTCTGGAATTTCAGTCGCCATGGTGTTGGGCTACAGTATCTCGAATCAAGGTGATTGAACTGGAAAGGGGTCAATGAAAAAGTGGTACAGAATGGGTTCAACTCGTTGCTGTCCTGATTCTTTACTCAACCGCAAAACCATAGAACTCGATGCGACTCTTTATAGCTGGACGAATACTTCAGCGTAGGCTTTAGTCTTCTAACAGTGCCGTGATGCCGCCTGCTACATGCTGACAGGCAGTGTTATGTCCATCTCTATGTCCGCGATGCCGTGCGACATGCCCCCTTTTGCCACGTCGACCTAGAATATGCGGACGTCAAGCGATCCACACTTTTACTCACACGGTGCTTGCAGACAGAGTGAGCCTATGCAAAATTAATTCTCTCAGTCGGTCAGGCTCGCCATTGGCGGCACGTAGGTGTGGGTTGATCCGGCTGTTGCAATCGCTTCACTTTCTGTTCTATCTATCCTCATGTTTAATCAATGTATAATAGCCATTGTATACATGTATGACACCTAGTTAAGACTTTTGAGTACTCAAGGCCGGGCGAACGGCTTCAATTCCATCACCGAGACCATTCCGCTTCAGATCCAACTCCATGGCTAGGCTGAACAAGGAGACGTATGACGTTTATTCTGCTCCGGGTCATTCCGATGATTTCCCTGAGCGGACTACCTACCAGAGGCTATTTTGAATGGTCTCAGCCAAGATTCGTCTCTTTTGACATCTTCTTCAATGCGTTTGCAACAGTGCCAGAATGTTACACCAACGGTGGCCAAAGGGTTCCTACGACTTATGTCTAGTCAGCGGCCAGAAGTCACACAGTAAAGCCTTAATGACGGCTCCCGCGGGTTAAGGCAACGACAGAAGCCCATACTCCGGGCTTTCGGAGCCGGTTTCCGCGGGTCCCAAGGGCCGCAGGAGCGTGGGCCAAGGGGCAGCACGGTCTTGAAGCGGACCCCGCTCCGCAAAAGGATAACGTCTTTGTATCGCCAAAGGAACTCGATGACGGGGTGATGCATTACCAATAAATGATCAAAAGTTCTATTTTGCATACGTGATTCAAAACACAACGTCGTCTGGCATAAGTAGCTCAAAAGAATGTGCGGGTACCCAGCGCCGAGCAACTTATGACAATGCTCGAGTGACAAGGCACAAGAAAAGAATGGTTAACACTCTTCCATCTTACAAGCGGACAAAGGAAACGGGGCCAATCCCAATGCGTACATATCAAACCACGAATCCGTCAGGGTAGGTGTTTTGGCGGACACTGTACCACAGTGCAGCAACTGCCCATAGCTTCGATTAGACCGTGATGGGGCATACCAATGGATCTCGAAGGGTATGGCCAGTGAATAAGTAGCAACAGCCACGCCGGCTGTCTCTCCAGCACATAAACCTGGTTGAGGTTTACTGGAGTCCACATTATGTGCAGACCGGACGATGACACTAGAAGCAATTATTCCAGCCATGGGTTTCATTAGACTCTACCAAGTAACAAGTGTGCGTCGGCAACGACGGTGTAACGTCATCTCATACGCCAAGGGCTGTCATCGTACCGCTTTCCGGAAGTATCGACCGAGATGCCGGCGGCATGGACAAGGCAGAGAAAATATCAGTATTCGTCTCGGCCACGACAAGAAAACCAAGACATCAGACGCATTTAGGTTCATGTACGATGTGTTTTCCCTATTTGCATCAGATCAACGGACTGACATAGTCATTTCATAGGGCTCTTCCGCCTGAGATACGCAACATGATCTACGCCTTTCTCTTGACAGCACAATTACCCTTGCTGTTAATACCGCTATTCAAGTCGGGTCCAAACCAACCAGTCCTCTTTCGGATGTTCTCCGATGATGACGATATATGGACATGTAGACCCGAAAGGCCTTGCATCAATATGCTACGGGTATGCAGAAGTGTCCACGCCGAAGCTTCTACGATACTCTATTACAGCAACAAATTCGTGTTTGGAGGAGCTGATGGTGTTCTGCAATGGCTACGTACTCTGCGTAAAACATCCCGTCGCAGCTTGAGATCCATGGAGGTCTGGAACTTTTATTTCGTACATAGCAATCAGAGAAATAGGTCCTGGTTGAGGAAGAAGATGAAGAAGCTAGCTCCCAGGGCTAAAGTTGTCATCAGCTTGAGCCGCCTTGACTTATGGAGCGTTTAATAGGGAGCAATGTTCCGCAGACCCGGTCCAGCTATCAGAAACTTTGATGAAGGGTGCAGGTGTTTGTTTGGTGTGTTGCAACCGAAGCGCCCATTCGCCCTTTTGTACCACGCCACGCCTGAGTTTGTCATTGTAAAGTCTTTTCTCATTACAATACTTCAATCTTGAAGCTGTTGAGAGAGCCACAGCCTAAGTTACTCTCAGAAAGAACTTCTACTATTGTTTGTATGGATCTCAAAAGCCCAAGCCGTCCAACGGGCTGTACATTATGTTTGATCGCGAAATTATACTTCCGTTGCAAGCTGTCTCTGTTACGCTACGCCCCTGATTGTAGCCATCTACTTAGCTACTTAAAAGGATCTTCACAGACCGTGAAACCTACCCATACATCTCTTCTTACAAATCACAGCAGACTTGATACATGACCTCTCACATATTCGGATTACTCCGGTTGAGCAAGAAGCCGTTCTGCTGGAAGTCAGCCTCCATGCTCGCCTGAAGTTCAGCTATGAGATCTTGACTCAGAAGGCTTCTCCAGGTCAACACTATGTCGCCTCGCGACGTAGGCCGGCCAATTCCCCGGGAAGCATAACTCGTGAACGATAGCTCTAATGCTTCTAGCTTGTCTTGTTGCCAAATAGCCAGTCCTAATTGACGGTACGGCCAAAATGGAACTCCGCGGATGGGTGAATACGGATGCTTCAATAGTTTGACAATGTAGATCGTCCAACACGGTGGCTGGTCTTTGGAAAGTACCTCTCGTGGCCATCTGGGATCCACCACTCCCGGATAGGCCGGATCCTGCCAACTCCGTGAGGACGCGTAAGTTTGGGGGGGTGCCGGGAGACTTCGGGATCTTTGCGAGAGAATCGAGCCGTCTTGGATATGATCGACGAAGTCTACGACGGTGAGAAACTCCTCTTTTTGCCAGGTCCAGCCTGCGAAGAGAACATCAGGAGATAATCCTTTGTCGCTGTTCTTTAGAGCCCAGTCCAGACGGTCTGCCGAGGTTGCAAGCTTCAGGTCGAGGAGCAGCTGCAGTCTCCAGAATCCGCGCATGACGCGCTGCTCCTCCATCCAGCAAGGTGGGCTGAGGGGCTGTGAAGTGTACGGCCGCCCTTGAGGGTTCTCGCGCCATGCTTTGTCGCGGGCGCCCCAAGCGAAAGGCCCGTTATCAAGGTGGCATGGAGTGACGGAGGCCCATTGACTTCGATAATATTCGAGACAAGCCCACGTCAAGCAGCAGATGCGTCGCGCGGTCAAGAGGACACCGCGGACGAGTTTGGAAGATTGACCGCGGAGCAAGTGCGCGAGGCTTGGGGCAGCGGAGGTAAGAGATGGATCTCGGTCTCTATGGCATTGGGTGTCTCGACAAATTCTGGGACCGACGGTGCCGGATGTTCAAGGGACGCAGTGCGGACCAGGCCGACGAGGCTGACCAACGTGATTACTTCGGGTGCGATCGACTCGCCAAGAACATGGTCAAGAGCTTTCGGCCCCGCCTCTGCGGACCCAAAGACACGAGACGCAGCCGGGCTGGCGGTGACTAGATGGTAAAGCGACCGAAGATCGGATAAGGAGAACAAGATTTGTTCGAGAATCTCGACAGGCAGACTTTCCATGTTGGTATTCGAATGTGATGGGGTGTTGGGGAGCGAATGCTTAGACTGCAAAGGTCGTGGTAGAAGATGTCCGTTGGGCAGCTCGCCGGCATTGCTTATGAATTTATGCATGTGGGCTTGTCATAGGGTTGCCAAGGGTGTGCGAGTTGAACCAACGGTAAACAGCCAGTCTGGGGGTAAAGTCTTAGCGGTATCTTGGACGCATGAACGATTACTTCTCGCCTGCGGCAAAGCTGCCCATGAGCCACTATGATGCAGCAGGGGGCCACTTTACCGACCCCGTCATCATCATTAATGACCTTCATGTTGGTATGCGGAGCAACATAGTTCCCACATGGTATGCAAATTCACAGACAATGGATCCAACAGGTATCTAGAGTACCTACATGTATGTTCTGCATATTAAGGTAGATAGATTTCCTTGGAGATCATGCCAAGCGACGTCTCCTTCAGAAGGTCTTGCTCGAAAATCATCTTCACACTATCGATCATCCTACAGACTTCGCCGGACCTATTTCAACAACGAGCGAGGTCACTTTCTGGATGTAAGCCGCCATCGCTGTAGATAATAGTCTAAACCCTCTGCCGCTGTTCCTGCCCGTTTATGCTAGTCAGCTAAATCAGCGTTGTATCGGATCAGGGTTGAGATCTTGACAGGCCCAATTGAGTGTTTCGGGGAGAAAAGGAGAGCAGTTTCGCTTTATCGACCCCAGTATTATCAGCATCCCACCTGAGACGGGTGACGTTCGTTGTGTTGCCCCTGACGCATGTCAGACCTTCCATTCTTTTCTTCTTCGGGTTTATCCAAAACCAATATTTCTTGTCTCTCTAGATCTCGCATCGTTCAATGTGTTAATGATGTGTTGGGCTTGCCCTGTTCTTAGCCAGCTCAAGTGTTATACACATCGATTACATGTAAGAAGTGACTCTGAAGAATCAGCCGACTTGGGTTATTAGCCAGATGAACAGCCCAAGGATGAGTGCAACAACTGAGCCGCAGAGTACCACTCGATCGTGATGTTGGATGTAGATCAAATCCTTTCCAGAGTCCACTGCGCAACCTTCAGCGATGTGGATTCGATTCTGCACACCCGCCATAGCATCATCGTTTTGGGGAATACAACGCATCCATCGTCTTTCACCATTTCGCATAATCAGGTGCTCTCGGTGCGTCCGTCTGGCCGGAATAAGGCATAGTTCAGATGAGCTTCCCTGAATAAACAGAACAATGAACCGCGTATAGTGGCCTTCTGAAGTTGGCATCAGCTTGGCCACGAGAGTGAATACGGCAGGTAACGTTCTTGGAAATTTCCACTGACGAAGGCGTGTCCGAACTGGAATCTGTGGTCTCGCGCTAGTATGCAATTCATATGCGATTGAGAACCAAATTTCAGGTATACAGCTGCCGTGTCCTTTTCTATGGAAGAGGAAAGTCTCAGTGATCTTGAATCCAGCCATTCCGATGATGGGCAGGTGACTCCACGAGCCTAACGTGTGATGTAGTGGCATATAAATGAGGCCGTTCGAGAAGAAAAGTTGAAGCACTTCGTGATGTCTTGGCTCACGAAAGAAGGCGCCAAATCCTCCCCATGCGATAGACTCAAGTGGGCTGAATCCCACGCTCCGGTTAGCCAGCCATGTCTTGTACCCGATAATGAGGGCGAACAAAGCGTTTCGATAGAAGCCACCTTGCGTATTGTTGACATCAACCCCCTTCTGGTTTAGAAGCATGCGACAGATGTTGAGCTCACCATGAAAGGCAGCCGAACCCAACGCACTCCCTAGTCCGAAATTCGTATTGAGGGTAGGATCTGCTCCAGCATCAAGCAGCAAACGGAACAGCTCAGAATCGCCCTTTGCCGCGGCCAGTCCTAATGTGGTTGCGAAGGGGGAAAGAGGGAAAGTCTGGTTGACGTCGGCTCCAGCGTTTATGACCTGTACGATGGCACTCGTGACTGTAGGATGCGATCCAACAAATTCGAAAAGAAGGTCGGCTTCTCCGTCATTTGCATTGATGTCTAAGCCGGTTGAAAGGAAACGACTAAGCAGTCGGTGTTCTCTGTAGTAGGATTTCCATGCAGTCATGTAAACTGTCTTCCGATCGTATCTTGATGCCAGCTGAATGGTCGCACCCAGTTTCAAAAGCGTTCGGACGCCTGTAATGTTTCCAGCTCGCGCTGCACGCATCAACGGGGATATGCCGTCCCATCGGGCGTTGATATCTGCATCAAGCCTTTTGTGTAAGTAACCAAGATCGGCTGCATAGTTTCCAGCCGCAAGGAAGAAAACATAGTTTGGCATGGTAACGCTTTGGAGTTCATAGAGCATGATGAGGATATCTTTCATGATTAAGTGTTCAGCAGCTAACTCGAGGGCGCTGCCGCATCCCGTCCCCATCTCCACAAGCACTTTGTTGGCAAGAAGCTCGTGTACAAACTCATATCGAGACAACTTATTTTCGCTTTCGATGAATAAGGGATCGCGATCAAACGGCTCCAAAGGCCACGCGTGACGAACATCATACGAAGCTGCGCTCAAAGCGGCCTTGAGAGGGGTGTCGATTCCCAGACTCGTGCGGAACTTGGATTTGCTGTTGGGGAAGCAAGGGTCAACCCCATTCACATCTGCACCAGCTTCAATCAGTGCCCTAAAGGCAGGCAAAGAATTGGCTACAACAGCAGCAATGAGTGGCGGGGGTAACCAATTTCTCTGGCATGCTTGCTTCTCGCCAAAATCTGCCAAATCGGTTCATAGCGATATCTGATGGCAAGCGAGAGAATTGACGGGCTCTCTGGCCTGAAACTTTCAACATCGCTAGCCACAGCCCGCCACCACTTTTCGAGTGTATAGAATAGGCCAAACGTTGCCATGGTGTCCAGAGTTCCTGGATGGGTTCTAGGGGAGATTGACCTGCCAGAAATATGCTCATGAGACCCGCAAGCATTTTCCCAGGCAACAAATACTGGGCCGCCCGTTACCGTCGGGCCCAAAAACATATTGACAAGGCAGCCAAGCTCTGTACTTTCATCACCTGGCAATTCGGCTTGTTTCACATGATTGAGCGCGTGACGCAAAAGATAGTCAGGAAGCTTGATAGTTTTCCGACCTTTGGGGTGTAGATACTCAATTCGTGGTGATGGGATCTGTGGGAGGTTCTTGAGAAGAAACTTCATGGAAGATATCGCAACGTGGCGGTGTGTTTTGGACACGTGGTATTGATCCTTGTTTTCGAGGTATTCTCGTGCCGATAAATGACAAAACCGCCAAAACCCTCGATCGTGTACGAGTAGGTTACCACAGATACTGAGGATACTTTCGTCGTCGAGTTTGTCCTCAGGACAAGTTCCGTCTGCGTGAGGTTCAGCTGCATTGCGATTGATAGTTCATAGGTGCTAAGCGGTTGGAATGCGCAAAACACCCAAAGAAACGCACGTTCAGCTAGCTGCACCTGTCCTTGCGGAGTATCTTGAATCTGGTCCCACACAATGTCGTAGGCAGCTTTGAGTCCTCTGGGGGCCATGCCAATGTGATTCGAGATGGTCGACTTGGTCCATGGATTCAGCCTGCTGAGTTGCTGGATCTGCAAAGCTGCCCACTGGAACATGCCTTGGCTCTTCTCTCTGAAGACGTCTTTGATTTCTTGCTGAAGACCTGGGCTCAACCCAACCCAGCGCTTGTCTCTCGACAATTTGTGTTCCACAAAAACGCAGATGTCACCTTCGTTGTCTGTTGTCTGTATTTCAACGACTGGTCCATGTTGGAAATGACGCCTGATGTCGTCATCAGTGCGACTTGACAGAAAGACTCGAAGGGTCCCATTGGCTTGGATGAGCTCATCAAAGGCAGTCATCAGGTCCTCTCTACTTTCTCGATCACACTCATCGAGAGCGTCGAGGATGATGGTAGTCCTCGAGTAATCTTTGATGATCTGTCTGATGAGGTCTTTGCAAGTAAAAAAATCGAACGTCTTGCCTTTGACTTGAAGTTTTCCTGTGCAGCCATCCAGTACTGGGTGGATCATGTGTTCGTCAGAAAGAACATCTGAGGAGAGCTGGCGCAATATACTTCGCAGTATATCCTGTGGATTTCTTCGGTTCTGTTCATCCCTCTTGCAATAGAAGAATGCTACTGCTTCATTGACTTTTGTAGCCTCTTTAATGGAGTCGATCACGAAGTCTATGACTCTGGAAGTGACAAATGTTTTGCCAGCGCCAGCTAGTACATGTTAGCGTGATTAGGACATAAAGATGGGGTAACTGGTGGCCTACGCACGTATACCATATAAGACCATTACTGGGGAAACACCTTCCATCCATTCAAAAAACTTGCGTCTGCCTCTGATCCACTCGCAGGTGCCGGTCATCCTTCTGTTACTGATGTTGTCGTGATGTGTTTGAAACCGGATATCGGAAATCTTCTCAAGGGTACTTTTCCGTTCGTATTTATCAATATGCACAAGGATCTGGGAAACTTGGTCGTTCAACTGTGCAACGATGTCTGATGGTCTTCAAGCAAACTCTGATATTTCTGATCCAATCGGTGGCTCGAGATGTTTTTGCAATCGTCGCCGCTGCTGATTACCCTTTTGTGCTGCTCTTCTAGCTGGACAAAGCTTTCTCCTGGTTTAGAACTGTTGAGAATCGCGGCCACCTTCCGCATAGTCTTGGTCTTGGTGAAGAGTAAGTAACAAAACTGAAGAGCGCTCAAAAGTCCAGTGTAAAGGTCCACCAGCTCATGATGTAAGTGTTCAACAGATTCATGGCCAATTTGAGTATCGTTTTGCTGCTGTTCAAGATCCATGGACCTCTTCGAGTAGACCATTTCAAAAATACGGCCTGTGAAGAGCAAGCGCGGCATGGATGCAAGAAGCTTCATGAACTTGTCGGAGTGCTCTTGCTCTGCGACCAAATGCTATCCAATGTTAGCTTTCATCGAGATTTTGCTGTCATTGATCATCGCGGATGGGTATATCTACCTGCAAGACAAGCCGGAAAGCAGCCCAAGGAAGGGCCGCATGAACAGGATCGAATGAAGAGACGATATCGCCGATGCCCTTGACCTTATCAAGCCATTTGATCATGCTGTTGAAAAGCGGCCTGAGTTCGAGCCTGTGTTTTCCAGCTTTCAAAGAGAATTTGTGACGGTTCTTCTCCAGTTCCAGCTCCTTTTCTTGGGCCTGACGGATGAGACCGTCAATGAACTGGGCATCTGTCTGGCCCGGCTGTGCACCTGCGGCATCCAAGCTGGACAGCCATTTTCGGACATCGCCAGGGAGTCGCTCGTAGGCTTTCGCCCAGAGATCAGGTGGATCGGCCATTTGAGTTCGAGTCTGGACACCATCCGCCGCTGGTCGCAAAAGTTGGAGGATGGACGAACGAAGCGCGGTTAGAATGGTGTTCGGGTTCGCGTCGAGAAAGAGCCCACCCAATCGCTGAACTGATTTGGCGTTACGCGCTGCAACATGCAGCTCGCTAGGAGCAATAACTCTCCGAAACCCCGCGTCAGCTTCTCTCAGAGTGTATGCCCTGTCGCCATGGTGCGACTTGAGTGGTTATATCCGGGCCTGGGCCCATCGCAGCCTGATTACGCCGCGCTCTCCAGGGCTATGCTTGATGACTGACTGCACAGAGTGCAGAGAGGGAGATTAGACATGAGGTGACTCCGATAGGACTGGCTTCAGATTCCCTGGATAGATCCACAGCGGTGACATACAATATCCAACGGAGACAAGACTGGAGCAAAATATTAATCGGAATCACTACAAAAATGACTGCTGCGCCCTGGCTTCTATGATACAGTCAACGGAGACTATGCCGCCGACAAAGGTAATGGAGCAAAAGAGAGTATCACCAGAAAAAACAAACAAGACAAAAGCAAGATCATGACCCCTAAGAAGGTTACATGCCGATCCCTGGAAAAGCCACCCGTTCCTGAACGCCCTATGCTTGGCCTCTTTTTTTCTTCTCAGCACGTGCCCAACATGTCTCTCTGGCATCTCGTCATTGCATGCGGCATTTTGATGCGTCGTTAGGGGACAAGTCACCCTACTCCTTGTCCGCTGGCTTGTCTTCGGTTTTCTCGTCCACATCCATCTTGTCTTCTTCGGGTTCCGGCGCCTTGTCTTCTGGCTTCTCGGTGGTCTCCTTGTCCTTCTCGGCAGACTCCTTCTCCTCGGCAGCCGGCTCTTCCGCAGTAGGTTCCTTGGCTTCGGCCTTCTCTGGCTCTGCGGCTTCGGGCTCTTTACTGGCTTCTTTCTCGGCCTCCTTTGCAGGTTCCTTAGTAGCTTCCGTGGATTCCGCAGCCTCTGCCTTGTCAGTCGTCTCTGTTGCGGCAGGCTCAGCTGGCTCGGCAGATGGTTTGCGGGATGCAGGTTTATCTTCCTTATCCTCCTTTTCGGCCACCTTGGCGGGCTCCGCCTCGGTCTCCTCCTTCTTGATGGTGGTCGTGGGCTCGTCAGCATCGACGCTATCCTCCATGCCGACATCTCCATCGCCGTCGACGATCTCCTTGGGGGCTTCAGGGGCAGCCTCCTTTTCGGCAGCCTTCTCTGATGACTCCTCTGGGTCGACGGGGTTCTCGAGGGTAATGTCGGCGTCGACAATCGGCTCAGCATTGGGGGCTTCCTCGTCGGCGGCTCCGTTGACGGGCGACGCAGCGCTGCTGTTGGCTTCGGCCTCCTTTTGTTTGAAGTCGCGGAACGTGCGCTTCTTCGCGTTACGAGGGCGGGTGATGCCGTTTGCCTGCTCCATATCTTCGTCGTCGCTGTCTTCGAAATCGGCCTCGTTGTTCGTGCGCTGTTCCCAGCGGCGTTGCGTCATGCGCTCGTCGGGGTGCTCGTCGTCGTCCAAGTCGTTCAACTCGGCCTCCTCTTCGTCCGTCATGCCACCAGGTAGTGGTTGGCGGGGCACATCCTGCATTTGGACGGAGGGAACGGGTTGTGTGTGTCGCAGGTTGTCGATGACGGCAGCCTTGATCTTTTCGAGATATTCGAAGCTGTTGGAATTCTCCATGTTGGAGGGTCGGACGTTCAACTCGAAATCGGGCGCATAGTACTAGGAAGAGTTAGCCATGTTACAGCGACGGCATTACAGAGAACCTACTTCGTAGTATTCATTGTAAGGCAGCGTCCTGGGCAGGTGCTTGCCGACAAGAACACCAGTCTCATATGCCCAAGTACGGGCGACGTTACGCATGGTGTAGCCACCACCGCCAAGAACAAGGGTGGGTAAACCGAAGCTCTTGACGTATCCGACGCAGTTGGCATGGCCTTCCATGCTGAGGTTGAAGCAACCCAAACGGTCTCCGCTGAGACTGTCACCGCCGCATTGGAGAACAACAGCCTCGGGCTGGTAGAACTTCATGACGTGTTCGATAACGGGTTCGAAAATAGACTTGTACGAGTTGTCGTCGATGCCATCGCGGAGGGGGAAGTTGACAGCGTAGTACTTGCCGGTACCGATGCCGATGTCGCGCAGCTCACCAGTACCAGGGAAGTATTCGCCGTACTTGTGGAAGGAGACGGTCATGACACGGTCGGTCGTATAGAAGGCCTCCTCGACACCATCTCCGTGGTGGACATCGATATCGATGTAGAGGACGCGCTTCTTGAATCGAAGGAGTTCGAGGATACCGAGGACAATGTCTGTAGGCTGTTAGCAGGGGCGCGTCGTGGGCATGATAATATGGTCTTGTGTACCATTGACGTAACAGAAGCCACTGGCTTCGCTCTTCTTGGCGTGGTGAAGGCCACCAGCCCAGTTGACGGCGATGTCGCACTTTTGGCGGTTGAGGCGGGCGGCGCCCTCCATGCTGCCACCGGCGCTGATGCCACAGAACTCGAAGAGGCCGTCAAAGACGGGACAGTCGTCTCCGACGTTGTATTTGCCCTGCTCCTTCTGATAGGCGTCCATGTTGTCGGGTGTGACCTTTTGCAGGAAGTCGATGTACTCGTCCGTGTGGAACTGGGTCATTTCACCCCTAGTCGCAGGCTTTGCGCGCTACAAATAACAAGTTAGCAGCAATCGCGTCGGGTTCGCAGGCGCGTAACGTACGTAGATCTCCATGTTCTTGAACAGGTCGTAGTGCATGATCAGACTGTGGGCAAGACGAATACGGTGCGGTTTCATGGGGTGACCGGTAACGTAGGCATAGTTGCCAATGTCGGAGTCGTAGAAATATGCGACCTTCTTTGGGGACGACGAAGACCCATTGGCCAGGGCCACCGATCCGAGAGGTGACATGGCGTCGGTCGTTGGGGATATTCTGTGGTTGTGTAGTATATTCGATCGATCGTGATGATTGGAATTTGGTGGTGGAGTGGTGGTGGAGGGAAGGATGGGAAAGGCGAGCGAAGGCTGCGCGTGGGCGTGGAAGCTCTGATCGGCTCGGCCCCAGATTTCCCAAGGCTGGGTGCACCGAAAAAGTCAGGCCAATGGGCGCCACGGATGACAGGCCAGGGGCGAAGGCTGTTGGAGGAGCTTTTCGTCCAATGAGGTAATTGGATCACAGCGAGGTGAGGGACGGCAGGTGAGATATTCCGACCAACAGTGTTGTTTGATTCGTCAGCAGCAGCTGGGGAGTGCCAGCCGGCATCGCCCAATCAGCGTCGCCAGTGGGGAGGCGGCAAGTTGCTGATGATGGAGGGGCTGAAAGGTACATTGCCTGCAGGAGCAGGAAACACATCAGGCAGTCTGTTTATTTTCATAAAAAAGGAAGAGATAAATGCTTATGAGGCTTGTGTTGTTGCACACTTTTATTCCAATCTGACATTTTGTTTTGGCCTTGCCGCGATTGTCTTTTCGACCTGGAAGCGTGGCTCCGGATAAAGCAGGCGGTGTGGCTGGGATTAGGCGCATGCACGAATGCAGCCCACCTGTGGCTTTGCAGTGATGTTAAGCCACAACCCCTCGAACTCGGTACTTCGACGCTGTCACTTCGGAATCGAAACACGACGCGCAACAAGCTCAAGATATTATTTGAAGCCAAGTTGTCGATCTCCTGATTTACATTATCTGGCCTGGATAGTAATTTCAACAAGAACAATTGATCAAGAAATCCCAGCGCCACGGCCACACGTGACTGTTTGTCAGCTGTGCGGTACGTACCGGACCGGGCTAGCTCCGCCGGGTCCTTTTTCGCCAGGCTGCTCAGAGCTGTCGTCAACAACTCACGAGCCAGCTGCTTCCATCCAACTCCATCACCTCAACTGCCTCCCTCCGCACCCTCTACGAACGAACACCTCCCAACCCGCGACACCCCCAATCCGAATTTTCCACCAAATCCCTCCATCATACACAGATCATCACAATGGAGCGCTTCCGCAACATGCTCCAGTCCCAGGGCCTCGGTGGCCTGGGCAGCCAGCCCGGAACGGTAAGAGCATCCCACCTTCTGAAGCTACCAGGATAGCTCCGGCGACAGCATCGCTCTCGACCACGTGCTGACTTTCGAATGCAGGACAACACACAGCTCATCGATAACTCCGAGACCGTCTACATCTCTTCCCTCGCCCTCCTCAAGATGCTGCGACACGGCCGCGCTGGTGTTCCCATGGAAGTCATGGGTCTGATGCTGGGAGAGTTCGTCGACGACTTCACGGTGCGCGTGGTGGATGTCTTTGCCATGCCTCAGAGCGGTACCGGTGTTAGTGTAGAGGCCGTCGACCCTGTCTTCCAAATGAAGATGATGGACATGTTGAGACAAACCGGAAGGTAGGAATGCATCTCGCCGCGACCTCGAAGCCATTACTGACTAGCAATCGACAGACCCGAAGCCGTCGTCGGCTGGTACCACTCCCATCCTGGTTTCGGATGCTGGCTTTCCTCCGTCGATATCAACACCCAGCAGTCTTTCGAGCAGCTGACCCCTCGCGCCGTCGCCGTCGTCGTCGACCCCATCCAATCCGTCAAGGGCAAGGTCGTCATTGACGCCTTCCGCCTCATCAACCCCCAGTCGCTCATGCTTGGTCAAGAGCCTCGTCAGAGCACAAGTAACTTGGGACACCTCAACAAGCCCTCAATCCAGGCTCTGATTCACGGCCTTAACCGACACTACTACTCGATCGGCATCAACTACCGGAAGACGGCACTGGAGGAGAACATGTTGATGAACCTGCACAAGCACGTCTGGACCGAGGCGTTGGAGATGAACGACTTCAGGGCCGAGGCAGACTGCAACAAGGAGCGTCTGGAGCGTCTCGTCAGTCTGGCTGAGGGCTACGAGAAGCGCGTCAAGGAGGAGACGGAGCTCACCAAGGACCAGCTCAAGACCCGCTACGTCGGCAAGCTTGACCCCAAGAAGCACTTGGAGGACGTCGGCCAGCAGTTGATCGAGGACAACATCGTTTCCGTGTCGAGACAGATGATCGACAAGGAGGCGACGATGCCCAAAAAGGACGGTGCCAAGGGCCAATCAAACGGCGATTCGATGGACGTGGAGGAGGAGTTGTGAGTGGAAACGGGCCACAATTCGGGGGCGGTCCAGAGGCGGGATACCAGGACTTTACCGGAACTGTACGATTAGGCGTTTGGGTGGTTGGGAACGCAACGACTAGAGACCCCGCCAGGCATAAGACGAACGATTTTACAAAACCAATTGCATCGGACTGAAGAACAACCGCCGTGGTCGAGATGGTTATGGACGGTTCTTTGTTCATCAACAAGTCCCAGTTCCGATATTCTCCGCTCTTCTCTCGTGGCTGACAATGGTCCAGAACAACGTAGAAGCGCTACTATTACTCCATTGTCCAGAGACAACGACGGTGCTCAGACACTCGAGTAGTGGACGGGCATCTCTCAAGCTTTTACTTATATCGTGTACAGCACCAACTTGACCATGACAGAGACTAAATCAAATCGCGAAAAGCGACACTGCAATCTTCGGCAACAAGCACTTTGTCAAATACCCCTTCTCCGGAATCCCTCAGACGTCCACGGGATGCGACGTCGCTATCGTTCGAACACCCTCAGCCGTCTCTTTTGTCTCCTCCGTCTTCGGCCGCCTAGCCAGGCCAGCGAACATCATTCCACCAGATCTGCTACACAGTCTCCAGGCAACGACCGCGTGAAAACCTCAACCATCTCTCGCGCAGAGAAGATCAAAGCTTTCAGTCTGCTTCCGACTCCCCCATACTGGCGATACAAACGGCGCCCTCCCCTACCCTCACCCAAGTCTGACTACAGCTACCAGGCTTTCTTACTAGAGACCTCCGCAACCATGCAATATGCTCCATCTATCGCAGACAGCCATTACACCGATGTCTCTCTCCCTCCATCACCGCCTCTTCGCATGTCCAAATCAACCTTGTTCGAAGTACTCCACCGTATCGGGCACACCTTCTCCCATGTGCAGTACGCCGTCTGCGGCACGGCCGCCATGGTGGCCTTTGGCTGTGACAGACGCAAGCCAACGCACGTCAGCATCGTCTGCCCATCCCACACTACAGACGTGCTGGCTTCATGGGCCGTGGCCGGCGGCATGATGTTATACCCATCCAAGCCCAACGAGATTGGCGTCCCCGTCGATGGAGACACGTGGACGATCCAGGTGAAGTACCTCGAGACAGACGACAATCACAGGTTTGAACGGCTGGACGCTTGTCACTTCAACTTTGGGTGTGATGATGTTACCACGGCCGTCTTGACCCCGGCAGCTCAACTCGAACAGATTGCACAAGTGTACATCAACCCGCGGTACAACCAGAGCTGGCGGTACAAGGAGAGGTTAGGAGGCGATGCCATCTGGCTATTGGAGCAGATGTGTAAGGAGGACGTCAACAAGTTTGGTATGAATTTGAGGAATGCGAACATCCCGACAATTAGGGACCAGAGGTTTTGGCTTGTCTTCACGACGGCGCATCCCGAGGCTGTGGGATTGTTTTACGATGCTGGGTTGAGGGGTGAAGAGGAACAGGTGAGTCTCAGCGAATGGGGCAACCGAAAGGAGTATGAGCATCAGCATGAGCAAGACCATGCACATACGCAAGAGTATGAACAAGGCCATGCGCACACGCAGGAGTACGAGCAGTATGAGCAGGAGTACGCGCACGAGTATGAGCAGGAGTATGAGCGGGAGATTGAGCAAGAGTATGATCAGGATCAGGGCCCTGAGCAGGAGCAGGTACGAGTCGAATCGCCAGTATCACCGCATGATCCACCTCCAGAGCAACCCCGACGCAGAGATGAGAGCGGGCGTTCGAGACGCAGATCATCTCGGGTCCGTTCCCGCTCCCGCACTCGCACCGACCAGGGACCTCGCCGCCGGCGACGACCTTCTGAATATGGACCGATCTTGACCCGGGCGGAAGAGAGGCGGGTTGCCATGGACAGAGCACGGGCTCGGGGCCAGGTCAGACGTCGCAGCTCGCAGGAGCCGAATAAGTTCTCATTGAGTGGTGCTCTCAATAGCTTGCTTGGCGGTGGCCATCGGGGTGGGTACAGAAGATGATCGCTTGGTAAGTTCACCTTTCGACTTGTTGCAAATGCGCGACTGGCAATTGTTTTCGACTCAAGTTGTCTCATTGTCTTGCCTCTGATCGAGGTTTCGCTGTGTAAATGATTCTACAAAGGAGATGATCCCGAATCCCCCTTCTATTGTTTACGCCCGTCTTTGATCATGCTGTTCCCGTGCATGATCCCCTTTCACAAAACCCGCTTCGCTGGTATAACAAATGAAACAATCCCTTACCATACCCGCCGCCTTGATTCCCCGCGAATTGCTCCGCACATGTTCGTCATCATCTATCCCGTCTATTATCCAATTACTGTCTTCCGTATCCTTGCTGGGTGTACTGCTGTCCGTATGTCTGCTGAGGGTACGCCGGCTGGTACGCCTGCTGCTGCGCATACTGTTGCTGTTGCTGGTGGGTGTATCCCTGGGTCTGTTGTCCGTACGCCGCGGTCGCGTACCTCTGCTCCTCGCCGTTCTTCCTCTGCTCGCGGCGCACCTCCTGGATCTGCACGCTCTCGACGCTCTGGTCCTCGCAGCGGCTCTCAAGGGGCGCGGCGTCGTGGCCCATGGCGCCGCGGCGGACGCCGTTCTTCTTGAAGTAGCGGAAGTCGAGCCAGGCGATGATGGTGGCGTAGCCGGCGACCATGGAGAGCAGGATGCCGAGGACGACGACGACCCAGCCGATGGTGCAGGAGGTGCCGATGCAGGACTGCTGGGTTTGGGACTGGATGCCCATGTAGACGACCGCGGCCCAGAAGACGATCTCCATGGCGTTGAGGATGAGGTTGGCCTTGAGCGAGGCCCAGCGGTGGAAGGCGGGGACGTGTTCGGTGAGGACTTGGTAGAGGATGATGGCGAGGGACTTTGCGGACTGTGGGGGGGAGAGTGTTAGTTGAGTGTTGGTTTGGAGGTGGGGATGGTGGGAAGAGGAGGCTTACCATGCCTAGTGCCATTGTGCCTGATCTACCCCTGGGACGGTTCGGCATGAAGATGCGTGCTACTGAGAGACCGAGGGCCGCTGCTACGAGTAGGAGCTGGACCATGTGGATGGGGAACTTGAGTTTGCTGGAGAAGAGGGCGTTCATCTTGGCGGTGTTGATGTTGGTGATGTTCGAAATGGGGTCGGAGTGGGTATCTTTGTGGTGTTGATGGTATCCAAGATCGGTGATGTTCGGATATCAGACTCTTGCAAGGCAAATGGGAAAATTGGAATTGGAAATCTTGAGCCTTGAGTCTTGTAGACTGGGTTGAGTTGTCTTGTCTTGAGTGTCTTGGTGTTCCTCCAAAAACATCAACACATCGCCGGGCCTCGCGGCCGTCTATATACCAAGACGAAATCCGCATTGCATCTTTTCCACGTATTCGGTAGAGTTTGATACCTCAATTCCCATAACACCGGGCCTTTTCGCTCGTCAATCTCCAGGGAACAAGCACAGCCATCAGCCGCAGCCTCTTTTTTCGGCGGGTTTGCGGGCTGGCTGGAGCGGATCTTCTCACGCACAATTTGCGGTGGTTCTGTTTCGGTCTCGGTTTTTAGGGGGCGGGTTGGGCAATTGTGGTTATCTTACGCAGTAATACAAACAAGGCCAGACACTCACTGCGTTGGCGCTAATACTGGATAACGTGCTTATTCTTCCTCCCTGGCCCTGCACAAAGTGGGAACACAGCCCCAAAAATGGTCTCTTCGGTCTCGGTTTCCCACTGCATAAGCCGCCGGCCGAATTGATAGCACTAACATCTAAGCATACGCGTATCCACCGAATAGAGTTAACCCATGGATGGTCTTCTCCCCCTACTGACGGATCTGCCCTTTCTTCGACTCATTCTTCGAATGCTGAGATTCTTTTCATGTCTGACGGGCTCCATAATTTCCCGCCCTGTCCGTCTGTCAAAACTTCACTGCCGCCTGCCAAGACGAGGTGACACGCCAGCAGCGCCAGCAGGCTGGGCCCAGGCTTCTGGAACGACCGCACACTCTCACACCCGCACCCCTGACGGGCCCCGTTTTCTGGGCTCTGGCGGGCAACAGATTGGCGCGGAGTGTCATTTGGGACGATCTGGCGGGCCTGGTTGAGTCTGCCTCTGCATGGGATGGAAATGCGCCTTGCGCTCAGGTGTGGGGGCACATGAGGTTTCTGGTATTAGAGAAAGCGAGGTGCATGGGGGCTGGGCGCTAACAGATGAGTATGAGGCTCGGTTTCGATGTTGATTGCTAGGAGATTATTGATAATCAGGAAGAGGCTTTCTGTTGCAGGATCCGATTTTTAAGAAATTTTCTTCCGGGTGATATTGGCTTTGCCACGACAGACGGCTTCTAAATCTTTGTTCATGAAGGCGGTTGGCTCACGTACGAGAGCACGTCAGATTTTAGGTTGTCGATAATCAGGACTTTTCTTCTTATCTATTCGACTTTCAATACTTCATACTTTCAGCCCGTCAAAAGTCTCTCGGTCGGCGTGGTTGATGACCTTCCCTCTTCGTTGATGGCGTTCTGCGTTGTCATAGTGCCTGCAGTGCCGTTTGCCGGATTATCCCCAAGTTCTTCCTTTCGACCCCAGATGTTCGTCAGGCAGGGAAGATGCTTATTTGTAAGTTTAATGTTGCTAGCTGACTTTGAGGGTTCGTTACGCCGAGTACAGGTTGCTGACTGGCAGTCCGGATGTTCGGATCAGGTATCGCAAGTTCGGGGTTCCGAATAGTGAGTCCAATGCTCCCAACAGCATTGACGGCCATCTAGCAACGAAGACTTTAGGCTGAAGTTTTCCGCTGGACTATGATCCAATGAGATCCAGTTCTTCGTTCGAACCGGTAACGATGTGCGCTAGCGTCCAACTCGTTGCCTGTCAATGTTTGACTACGTAGCCTGAGGGAGGTAGCCTGAGGTTATCACCCTGGAGCTATCATCCGACATGAGTCTCTTTCACCATTTTCGTTTTCCTGCTGGACTTCGGTAGCGGTAGAAACTTCCCCATCAGTTTCTCTTCTCGGATTTTACTCTCTTCATGGTAGGCAACTGATGTCCTTCGTCGTCGAGTTGTGCTAATGTCTCAACAGAACAGCAGCGTCACCTATCCGCCATGTCGTTCATAGCGGCCGCCGAGAAGTATATTCCAAAAGCCCGCTTGCTGGATGTTGCCGGAAATGCTCCCTGGACGCAATAGATACTCACATGGCGGCCATAGTCCTGGGCGTTGAAGACTCCAACGATCCACTCGCCGCCCGTTAAGATCCGAATGGTCGACCACCAAACACTTTTCATGACGGGCCATCCCCTTGATCCTTTGGACTCACGTCGGTCGAATCTTCAGCTTTCGGTTCACCCGATGACTCCCATACAACAGCTCCAAAATAATCACCCTGGCTCTGCCGATTCCCCCTATCCGTATGCCGTCTTGGTGGCGGCTTCAGCGGCGTAGGCAGTTCCGGCTCATGGCCCGGTGCCTCGAGCATCAGAAACTCGACGCCGTCATCCGTGTCGACCCTCGTCAGGGGCAAAGTCATCGTCATGGCCGCTTTCAATTCCTCTCGCGTCTTGAAAGTATCCCGGGTCCTCAGCTCCGTCCGCGCTTCGTGGACCTCATCGATATGTATCGCAGGCGGAATCGTCACCCCAGACAAGCTTCGAGCGTACTCGTCCACGACTCGAGGACTCTCTGCATCCTCGATCGCGTACTGCGATGTGTGAGAAACAGGTCGAGATCGCCTCTTCTGTGACGTGGTGGCTCCATCGGACTGCGTGTACAATTCCGTGTCTGCGCTATCTTCCAGGTTCCTCTGCACATACGTCCGTTTAATCACCGGGCTCAGGCTCTGGGTACCCAGCAACGGCCGCAGGGTCGGTATACAGACGCAGATGATGGCGCAGCATAGTTCTGTTATCGACCATATGCCGGCAACGACGGTATTGTACGTCGGGTCAGTCGATGTCGCCGACGACTTGAGTGTTGTAAGTCGTATGACAGATATTGCACACGTGCTGTCAAAGTCGTTAGCCAAGCGCCGCCTGAACCTTGCCACATTTTTACGTACAAGAACCCGAGACCAAACGTCGCCATGAGAACAACCTTTTGTCTCAATGGCACGGCAAGAGTCCTCAGCAGAGGAACGGGCATAACGAAGATGATGATGTCTGTAATCAGGTTTATCGCCGATCCAGCATACCACCAGTCCAACAACCTAAAGCATTTGCCCTGAACTGAGAGGTCCCATAGGGCTCGTAATGGAACGCAGGCGAAGCAGAGCGACACCACCTGCGTGAACCCGAAGGTCATTATGAATATTAAGAATATGTTGCAAAGCTTTTGAAATGGCGGCAGTGGAAAGACTCGTCGGTACTGAAGTAGAAAGGTGGATTTGATGAGGGGCATTGCCTGTATAGTGTTTAGTGATCGTTCTTCTCCCAGGATGGTTCTTGTCCGATGGAACCTCTGGTTATGCAACTTACAGCTTGGTATACGGCAACAGCGGCGATGGCAATCTCTTGAGTTTTGAGGTAGTTTTCGCGCGTGAGGGTGGCCTTATGGAGGCCGTCTCCGTAATGTGTGTTGATTAGCATCAACAGGCCGGTAACAAATACAAGGACCTGCCAGTCCCGTCAGCATCGTCGTTCCAACCCAAATCGCACACAATACGTACGTATGAGAAAACAAGGGCAGTATCATCAGGCCCCCATCTTCTTAACCTCCACCGTCGGACGTATATCCTCAATGCGGTGACGACAGACGCCAAGAACAACGCAGTTAACGTAACCCCGAAGACAAGCGGCTGTCTCGTTTCGCTGGCATTCACGGCTGGCAATGTCGTGTTTGTCACTACGGGGCTGCCACCAATTTTCGGTACCGTCCCCATTGTCGGGTCGTCGTCGGTAGGATCCATCGTTGTCCGCCTTCTTCCCCGCCCGCAGGGAACCCTCGCCCGCCGCGGGGCTCACGTTATTCGAGGCCGAGAGCGATGTGTGAACGGTCTGCTCGAGCGATCGTCGCTACCGATATACCATCTCATTACTTATCACAGGGTCGAGTTGGTCTCTGGTTCATCTTCTCGCTGTGAAGCCAAGGACATGCGTGATCACTAGCAATCGCTAGACTTTGAATATCATCAAAAAAGAATGCCGCTAGGTTTTTGCTGGACGAAATTCAACCTTTGGAAAGCGAATTGCTAACAACCGGCACCGAACCGCTCCCACAGGCATAGCCAGCAGGTGACCGGTGGGCGGTAACGTGTGCCCAGTGCTCGGCGAGATAGAGTTGCCGCTAGATGCAAACTTGCCCATCCCTCCATCCCACGAGGTCTCAGAAGCGGAGCATGGATATTCCTACGATCCTTGTGTCTGCCAATGACTCGAATCCGGTTCATTTCCAGTTCCCCATGAGAGAATACATGTCAGATCGGCATGCCTGCAAGTTCACTGGGTTTCGACTACCCGGTCAGTTGTAAAGGGGAACATGCAAGGCAGTGGGATGCCGTGTGTCGCCATCGCCGGTTCATGCGACTTCCAGACTCGTTCGGGCGAGACAGCTTCCATGACCGGCTCCGAGAACCATCCCAATCTCACCATGGTTTCGTGCCTGAAAAGGTCCAGCCAACATTGGTCCAGTTGAAGGAAAGTATGGAAGCCATCCTACCGTGCCAACCTCCTTCGATACAGCAGCGCAAGCAAGAAACGACGATCAGTTTCTCTGAAGGATTCTGCCTTTGGCTAGGGTGTTTACTGGGTGTTTCGTGTACAGAAGTATGCTTGCCGAGAATTCAAACCTAACATTCGATGACGTTCAATTGGCGATGAGATGCTTACCGCCAATGGGCGTCTTCGTCCGGAGGTTGGATAGGACGAAATCGTATCTTGTTTGAGAGTCCCACACCCACCCGAGCCCCGAACGGACCTTCTCCGGTGCTCGGCCCCATCGGCTCCGCCTCCCCGGCGGGTTTAGCTGGGTGGGAGGCGAGTGACATGAAAGCTTGTGCGAGTCAGGTTGCAAGATGTGTCGTGTAGTTCGGGAAGTTCGGCGGCTATTACTTGATTTGGACGGCCGTCGAAAGTGGCAGCTTGGCTGTTATGAATACGTGCCTGCAGGAACAACAAAAA